TGTCTGTCTGTCTGTTTGTGTCTGTCTGTTTGTGTCTGTCTGTCTGTTTGTCATTGTGTCTGTCCTGAAATTTATTTTCTCTCTGCCAAGATCTATCTTTCTGTGTATGTCTGTGTCTGTCTGTCTGTCCGTTTGCCTGTCTGACAGTTTGTCTCATGTACCTGTCTGTCAGTATTTATGTCTATCTGCCTACTTTTGTGCTTGCATCAACCAGCTTGTGTCCGTCTGTCTCTTGCACTTGTTCTAATAATTGTCTGTCTGTCTGTCAGTTTCCTTGTCTGTCTTACTGTTCTCGTTCTGACTGTCTGTCTCTTGTGTCTGTTCTGATTGTCTGTCTGTCATAACTGTGCATCACTACCCCCACAACAATTTAAAATCTTAGTTTTTAAAAACTTACGCTGGGGCTTTCTGTTTCTGATCCACCTCCAGATCCCTGTGTATCGTACTGTGGTCTGAACGGTCTGTCTTGTGCACCACCTGTTGCCACTCGACTTCTTGAATAGTTATCATGAGAATCATAATCAGCAGCTTGTCGTTGGCGAATATGAGCTGCCATGTCTTCCTGCCCTCCAGCTGGTCCATTACTTACTGAGTCCTGGTAGTACTGGTATGATTGTGGTGCTGCTGCCGAAGCTATATAAGAGATCAGACATTTTCTGTTTAGTATTAGAACAATTTTGTGCTCCTGTGACCTAGATACCCACAACTGGGGTCCCAATACATTTAATCCAATTTGTCCAGATACCATGCTGTTGCCTTCAAACTATAGTTTCATTTGGGTCAGTGTGTATACATTTATTGTATTGACAAAAAAAAGGCTTGACTTGAAACAACTGTTTGAATACAATAGAGCGTACGGGTAACTCCGATATCTGCTGTTTTTGTTAATCAAATTTATATCAGGGCTAAAAACAAGAGCTGGTGAGTCCACTAGCTTTAACTTGGTTATACTTTATTTCTGGCTCAAAGATATTGCTCAAAATGACCAGCATGGCAAAGATTTGATTAACCAAGTTCCAATTTGTAGACGGCTATTGTCCAATAACCGGCCATTATTTTTAGCCCTTCAAAATATCCGTTCGAGGTATTGATACTCCAGTTTGGAGATCTCTGTTGCTCAGAATTAGCCTCAATTTTGTGGAGAAAATTCATGCGTTCCAGTGAAGGTCCGTGGAATTTTAAAGCATTAGTATATTGAAGTTGTGCATTGTTGTGCATTCTTTACTTTGACAATGGTATTTGTGAATGCTTGGGTGCTGATTTGAGGCTAACCCTGAGTAAATGAGTCAATCAAGGAGCTTAGTGGTAATTTGGAACTCAAAACTGGTCAATACGTAAACAGTGGAGTAACTAGGGGTCTTGCAGGGGAGGTGCACAGGCATGATTTGCAGAACCGGGAAAAAAAAACAAAAAAAAAACAGAACAAAATAAAAAACAAGGGAATAATGGATGAGTGATTCTTAAAAATGCTACAATATGCAGATGGAAAGTGGTCTTCATTTAATCAAAAAACATTTACATGCAATTTTAAAGTAAAAGGAGATAGATGAGCAGACCTTAAGCTCTTATGGGGGGATTGTACGTGCTCCCTGTGCTCCCCCCTGGTTACGGCCCTGATAAAGTTTTATGAAATTCATATTTTGTTTTGGGTTTGTTTCAGCAGTGTTGTCCATCGCATAGCTTTGGAAAACCAAAGCAATTATTATTATTGCAGATACAGGGTGAGGTTGTAGGGTGCCTGTGCATCCCCCTTTCTAGCTTAGGCTCGCTAAAATGGTGCATAGATCTTCATAATTTTGTGAATCCCAGATATGCCCATGCAATGCATTTCATCATAGATGAACTATTCGTGTTTAAAAAGACCGGTAACGTCACTAGAATTGTCAAAAGTTCTAACCTGCACTGGTTGCTTCTTTAAGTGATACTAGAGCTTCTCGTACAGCTTGTCCAAACATCTCGGCATCATCTCGGCTTTGGAAATTTAACCCATAAACTTGCCGTTGATCACGCCATTGGTGGAAGGTTGGAGTAGCTTCATTGTACTTTAGACCACGAGCCAAAGCACAGTTTATGACCACCTTTGCAAAAGAAGAACTCCCAAAATTAATGCTTCAATTTAAAAGAAGTTGTTAGAAGTAAGAATAGCTTCCTTCCACATTTTCATTCCCACTCTTTTTCAATGTTTTCTTCATTCATTCTTTTGATTCACGCACAACAATAATTCCACTCATTCATTCATTCATCAATTCATTCCCTTTGTCAGTCTACTCATTTCATTACCTCTTCCAATCTTAATTTAATCAATACTTTTCTAATGTGTGCCATTATTTCCTTTATCCATTGTTTATCATTCTTTATCATTTAATTCTGCAAAGAACATGCGTGATACGGAAAAAGACCATGCCTTATATGAGGCCGTATCAGCACTTCTCATCTGCTCGCGCTGGTTACGATAGGGTTTAGACAGAGTTTGAGCACTTCTTTGCAGAATAAATGATAAACAACTTATCAGTCGGCTAAGCGTCTGACAAAGCTTTGCATTTTTATTACTCTTGTATACACTTGTATGCTCCATGACTCGTAAAAATACACAGCCGTATCAGATGCTTAGCCGACTGATAACCTCTATTAATTTTTTTAATGTTCACATGTTCATATTTTATTTTCAACTATCCATTTATCCATTCAATATTACACATAATTTCACTTATTCAACAGCATACAACACACCATTAGCATAATATTTTCCCATTTCAGACCACATGTCATTCTCTTAAGAAAAAGATGGTTTGTTTGAGTTGTATCCATATTCATGTGTCTTCTTATGTGCAACCGTTTAAACAAAGAAATAATACTCTAGAAATGACAGTGGTCTGAAATGGAAATACAGTACATTACACTAGAAATCTATTAACAAGACAGTGTTAGTCAAATCCAACTAGTAGTCTATCATCAATGCTGCGTTCTGATTGGATGAGCGACTACTTCTGATTGGATGAGCTACTACTATACTAGCCAAGAACTTATATGTATATACTAAGCAAGAAGTACCAGCTTTGAAAACCAAAACATTAAATAATTTAACTTTAATTCAAAACTTGTTTGCATCTTGTTTCTTATGTGTCTGTCCTCTTAGAGCGGATGCAATTAAACCRTGAAATAAAAACAAACTAAATACTGACAAATAGTATCTATTTAGTGACTAATAGCTGCTAGCACTCAACCAGAACATACATCACACAAAGACAAATCTTTTGTTTAATCAATGTTCTGGTTGAGCAATAGTGACTATTAGTCACTAAATAGATATTGTCAGTATTTACTTTATTTTTATTTCACAGTTTAATTGCATCCGCTCTATTGACGATAAATTGCGTCATTAAATTGTCAAAGTAGCATGGATCCACAAGGCATATCGAAATTTATTGTCAATAAGAAGACAGACACAAAAAACTGATGTCTATTTGTTTTTTACGATAACAAAAACGATAAAAACTTCTCATTTTTAGCAATCAAAACAAACAAATGGAAAGAGCACGTGCTTGTTGACGTCAGCTTTATCTGTCTGCCCTCTTATTGATGATAAAAAAAGCCAATCATCGTGCGAGAAATTTGTAAGTTATTGTAAAATATATATTTGATGKACTAGTTGGATTTGACTAAAACAACCTTTTTCCTTAGGCTCAAGGACTAATTGCTAATCACTTACAGCATGGTCGTTAACTTTTCGTCCAACTATTCTAAATGTATTATTGACTGGGTGGTGGTATACGTTTACTCTTGATAATCCCTGTGATCCCCCAGATGGTTGCCATTGTTTTTTTTCATTGTCATACAGCATTACAGAAGCCCTTGCTTGGGCTACACTGTGTTCACTACAACAAAAAAGATCGTTTATTAAAACTTAAAAGTAGTAAATGCATTAACACATCCAAGTCCAACATCCAAGTCTAACCTCGGTTTGGAACCATTGTTTTGTGGTCACTCAAGCAAATTAGGGATAGGTCTATTCAGGATCAAAAAAGCTCCCTACCCTCCTACCCCCGGGATAGATGACATAATATAGATGCCTT